TGTCCCCCAAGTTACTGATCTACTCCTTGCACTCTGAGATTCAAAGATGAGGTCTCTCCCCTCTTCCAGTCAGTGCAAAGGGCAGAGCCTTTGTCCTAGCACAGGATGTGCTCTCAGAAAATAAGTGGGGTACAACTTGCAGTGAGGTGCGGAGATATCAGTAATGTGATCCTTGTGACCAAAGAAGAAAATCACCTTTTATCAATCTTTAGCCTGTTAATGATGAACCTGACCCCACCTCATGAACCCAGTTTGCCCTCAGGAAGGTCTTGCCACTCAGTCCCTGGGCTGTATGGCAGGATGTGGCTTCTCCTGTGAAGGACACGGCAGCCTGGCTCGGAGCCAGCCTCTGCCACATGGGGCAGCTGTCTTGTCATTCCTTGCCACACCTAGGGGATGGGCTGCATGGCCTTATCACAGAGGAGAGGAAATCTGTGTTCACACAGGGACACCAGAATGGCTACAGTGATCTTGTGATTCAGGAGAGACAGAGCAAAGGCTTCAGGAGTTCAGAGCCAGGGGCCCCAGCCCAGGCAGGGGAGCAGGGAGATGCTAAGAAAGGATGGGGCGGAAGGGTTCTTCCAGTGGTGTCTACCTGGCTGTATGTTTAAAATCACCTGGGAACCTTTCATAGCCTGAAGCTGAACATGCGCTTGCCTTGTGATGCAGCGGTTTCATCTTGAGTGTTTACCCACCGGAGCAAATACGCTGCTGGAATTTTCAGTGCACTTTCATAACAGGCGAAACCTGTGGTTTTGTTCTAAAATGACCCCAGATCCTGTGTTTGGAAGGTGATGGGACTTCTGGGGAGCCATAGCTGGCTCACTGTTAGGAAGTGGGGTGGAGTCCCTGGGGGTATGGCTGGAAGGGTTTGTCTTCCTCCAGGGCTCCTCCACTCTCTCCTGGCTTCCTGTCCCCCATGCTGTGAGCAGCTCTGCTTCTCCAGGCCTTTCTGTCCTGCTGCCTGCCTTGGAGCCAGCTTACTTCGGACTGAAACCTGAGCCAAATAAACCTCCCTTTCCTTCAGGTTCGGGTATTAAATATTTGTCCCAGCGAGGGATGTAAACTGAGACAACCGGAAATTGCCCTATCAATAGTGTAATGAAACAATAAATCGATATACAACAATTGTACTTGTGAGTGAGAATGCACGGTTTGCAGTTCCACTTGGCGCTGCCACAATTCTTTCTAACGCATTGCTGAGTAAGAACAGCCATACAAAAGAGCACACAGGCTCTGAGTCTGTTCACATGAATTTGCCAGGGGAAAGGCCGTGCGTGTTGTTGGCGTCAGGACCGTGGTTCTCCATGGACACGGGGGCAGCAGTGAAATGGAAGGAGCAGGAGGTTCTGAAGGGATGCTCCCTGGAATTTGTTTTGTTTGTTTGTTTTGTCTTATTCAGACAGGTTCTCACTATGCAGTTCAGGCTGGCCTTAAGCTCACTTTGTAGTCCAGGCTGGTCTCAAACTCACAGTGATCCTCCTGCCTCAGCCTCTTGAGTTCTAGGATTATAGGAGTGGGCTACCACACTTGGTTTGTATTTGATTTTTTTTTTCTTTTTCTTTTTTCTGGTACTGGGGATCAAACTTACGACCACCTGCTTGCAAGGCAGGTGCTTATGCCGCTGAGCTAAATCCCCAGCCCCAGCTGTATTTATTTATTGACTTATTTTTGATCCCAGGGATTGAACTCATACTGCCACTGAGCTAAATCACTGGCCCCCAGCTGTATTTTTATTAATTTTGAGACAGGGTCTCATTAAGTTGCTCAAACTGAGCGTAAACTCTCAGTCCTTCTGCCTTAGCCTCCTGAATGCTGGGATTCCAGGCATGCGCCCCGATGCCTGGCTTCTGAGCTCGCCTTCTGAGGTTCCATTGAGACAGATGTGTACCTGGCTCCTTGTCCCTGGCAGCTGCGGGGTTGGCTTCCTTGAGGGCTGTACTGTGCTGCACTTGTGGAGAACAAGACTGTGTTCAGGTCTCTCCTGGAGGTGAGAGAGCCTGGCGCCCTCGCTGGCAGCAGGAAGTACCCAGGGGACCACCCACTGCAGTCAGCCATAGGCCTGGCCCAGCCCATGACTACACAGGCTCTGCTGGCCTGGGGGTTGGGTACGGGAGTGCTAGTGGATGCCAGCCTGTGTGTCTACCCGAGTACCTACCCCATCCTGTCCTGGCCACTTTGCCCTTTTCTAGTGCTTCTGTCCCCGACCCTGGTTCCCCTTTCCCCCACCCAGGTTCCTCTTTGACCCACCAGCCAGTATGAGCTAAATGCCTTGTGGTGCAGGGCCAGGCTCCTGGCTGTGGGTGGCATTGCCAGCTCCAGTCCATCCTTTGCCTCCTTTCCTGCAGAAAAGGAAATGCCACTCATTCTCTGTGCTCCTTCACTCTTGATTGATCCAGACAGGGTCTGTCTGTATAGTTCAGACTGGCCTTGAACTCACTGTTATCCTGGGCTGATCTTGAACTCATAAGGAATCCTCCTGCCTCAGTTTCCTGAGTGCCAGGATTATAGGCGCACACCACTAAACTGCTTGCTCTCCTCCTCTCCTCCCTTCTGGTCCTTCCTCCCTTCATTTAAGCAAACACTGCATTCTATTTGTGTGTGTGCTAAGTGTGCAGAGATTTAGAAACTGCCCTTGCTGGAGCTTGGCATCCAGGGAGATAGATGTCTATTAAAGAGACAGATACAGTAAAGTTTCACAGAGGGGGTGACATGTGGACTGGGTGTAGCTGTGTGAGGGGTCTGTGGTGAGGGCGTGGGGCCCCTGGTGAGCCACTTGGAAGGAGGCAGGCAGGCAGCAAGGCTGCTGAGAAACAGGAAGCCAGGGAGGCCTGCTGAGGGCAGTGGGGACTGAGGGACATTAGGTGACAGTGACAGGAGCAGATGTGGACCTGGGGAGCAGAGGCGGTGTGAGGATGCTGTCACCAGTACCCAGGAAGAAAAGAGTGACCAGGCTGGGCTGGCGCAGCAGGAACAGAGAAAGAGACAGCATCCAGCATCAAGATTAAGCTGGGGCTGGTCCCCGGCGGCCGTGGGAGATGGGACAAGGACAGGCTGGGGACTCCAGTGAATGATGGGGCCACCCTCCACGTTTCAGGGTGGTGTGGGACTCATTTCAGTGGCTATGGCGAGACCACAGGGCTGAGCTCAGGAGGGGACGTGGCATCCAGGTGAGGGGTGGATGTGGAGGAGCCTGAGGGTGATGGTGTTTGAGCCTAGGCTGGCAGGCAGGGCCAGGCACCACTCGTCAGGCTCCTCATGGGGCCTGGTTCTCGGGTCTGCACCTGAGTCTTTGGGTCCCTACTCACTCATTCCCTCTCAGCATGACCCTTTCCCTGCCTGTAGCCCCAGTCTCGCCCCACAGCGAAATGCCCACTGTGTGCCCAGCCCTGGGCTCCAGGTGGCCAGGGATACATAGGGCAGAGTCCCTGAGCTCCTGGAGCCTCTGGAAGGGGACAGCCATGGCAGACCAATACCTTGTAACAAATGTAAGAGGAGAGTTCCAGTTAGGACACCTTGAGTGCCAGACGCAGAGGCTCCCCACCCCAGCTGCGGGACAGCCCTTGAGCAAATCACATTTGGACCTAAGGATGCTTTCTTTCAGCTTAGAATCCAGGCGAAGCCATGGTCATCCGCGTGAGGCTTTTAGGCAGTGCAGTTTATGGGACTTGGTTTCCTGTTCTCTGGGAACCTTCTGCAACTGTGTCACCCCACAGTAACATGTTAGGGCATTATAGACAGCTTACAGATGAGATTCCAATGGCTAATATACATTTGGAAAAAATCCAGCCTACCAGTAGACAGAGACACAAATGAAGACAACACATTTTTACCAATCAAATTGACCAAGGAAAAAAGGCAAACACACAGAGTAGGGCTGGATGTGGGGAACAGAGTGCTGATGGCTGCTACCTTGGTGCCACACCTGGAAAGCAATCGAAGGTGACTCTAAAGAGCCTGAGAGATTCCTCTTTTTTTTTTTTTCTTTCATGAGCAGGTGTCACATGCAGTTCAGGCTGCCTTTGAACTTGGTGACCTTTTGCCTCAGCATTCCGAATGCTGGGATTATAGGTGTGTACCACCACACCTGGAGAAATTTTTGTTCTTGATCCATGAGTTGCTTTGCTTCTGAGAAATAATCCCAGGAACGGTCAGTGACAAATTTTTTCATGAGGTCATGTTAAGCAATGAAGCAGGGTACACAGATTATGTGCTGCACAGTTCATTTCTGTAAGCTACACATTTGTGCATCCATTTTTCCTCAAGAGATTTTTAAATGTATAATTTGGGAGTGTGGGTATACCAGGGATTGAACTTGGTACCTCAAGCTTGTCACTCAGGTACTTATGCCACTGAGCTAAATCCCTGGCCTTTTTAAAAAAATTTTTTTTATTTTATTTACTTATTTTTTGTAAATGTATGATTTTTGATCTCATACATAGTTTTGCATTTCTCATGCTCCTCATAAGGAACATTAAACAGTCATGGAAAAAGCCTCTGTGAAGCATAAAATGATGGAACCAACTATAAATCCCAAAACAAACTTTGGGAGTCAAGGTAGCAAATCATAATGTGGAGTCACTTTGTAAAACTCAGGTCACAGAGTCCCATTTGGGGAACTGTTCTGAGAAATGGGCAGTCAGACGGTTTTGTGGTTGCGCTACCACAGGTAGTGTGCACAGACTAGGGTAGCTGTGATGGCCTCAGGAACTGCAGCCCCAGGCCGCCACAGTTGATGCTGATTGAGTTGAAACGTTGTACTCAATCTAGAGCCACACAGAAAGAGAGGAGGCAACTAGATAAAGAGTTTAATGAGGGCATGGAGGGAGTCACCACAGAGAAGGCTAGGGCAGCTCTGCAGACAAAGGGCAGGTTCTGCCTGATATAGGCTCTGATAGGGGAAGGGCTCTGGGGACTGATGGGAACTGATTTATTTTGTGAGGGTGCAGGGGATTGGATTTTTTTTTTTTTTTTTTTTTTGCAGTACTAAGGATTGAACTCATGATCTTGCACTTGCCAGGCAGGCGCTTATGCCACTGAGCTAAATCCCTGGTCCAATTGGATAAATCTCTACATACCTGAGCTTTGGCAAAGACTTTTGGGAGGAAGAGAAGGAGTTCCGCATTATCATGGCACAGTTTTGAACCATCGCCATGATGACTGTGCTGTCTCTCAGATGGGGATCTGTCAGATGTGGTCTGGTCTTTGGTGACCGGGTTGTCATCTGAGGGTTGTGCATGTCAGTGTATGGGCCAGGTTGAGCACATGGCTGTGGCTGAGCTGAGTTTGTGGGTGCAGTTGTTAGGCTCTTCAGCGTGACACTCAGCATAGTCTGTACCTGGGCGGGTCTCAGTTTCCAGGTGCATGCAATGGGCTGGTGGGACGGAACATGACTCAGTTTTATCTGTGTGCTGGCAGACCTTGGGCTGAGCCAGTAACACTGGGCTTGGAGTGGAGAACTTTGACATGCTCCAGTCTCAAAGTAAAGTGTGACTAAGCATTTGGGGCTTTTAAGTTTCAGGTTCTAGCTCCTGATTCGCAGAGGGCCCACAGCACCGGATCTTGTGATTTGTTCTATGTTTCTGCCTGCCCTACCTGCAACCTGCTCTTTGAACAACCCATCTTCCCTGATCAGCCCCTAGGCACACTCCATCCAGATTGGTTTGATACCTCAAGCTTTACTGACACCAAGCCTGGAGGGGCAGGAACGGAGCCCGTGTTCTTTGGAGCTGTTGGCAGAGGCAAGAATGGAGGCCACTGGGGAGCCCTAGCTGCCCAGAGAAAGAGTATCTCTTCCCTCCTGGGCATTTTTGAAAGGGTCTGATTCTTATGGTAGGGTGCCCTGTTCGTTGGAAGATGACTGAGGCTGTTTTCTGATCTGGAGCCGCCCCACCTCTTCTAGCCACTATCACCTGTGGGCTGACCGAAGTCCACTGCCGTCAGCTGTGCTGCTGTGATAAGATTTCCTGAGCTTAACAGCCTTCCCAGTACCTGGCAGTTTATGGTAACACTGCTGTGGCCCTTCAGGAAGGCTTGCTTTTCTGCCAGGAAAGAACCTCAGAGAGCCCCTCCCCGTCTGCACCCTCGGGGCGGGGTGGCCTGGCCTGGCAGCTGCCTGGCACCCACAATGAGGTGGAGATTGATTTTCCTTCAGGTCTAGGCATTAACTGAACCTCAGGCTTCCTAAAGAGATGCTGGTTAGATGTCACTGTTGCCTACCAGGACCCGGCTTGGGGACAGATGCAGCTGCCCTGGGCTATGTGGTGCTGGTAGGGGAAGATATCACTATCAAACCCGATGTCCTGAAGTAGAGCCTCTTTCTCCCTAGCAACCGACAAATGAACAGAAAGACGGCTGCTCTGAAGAGCCCTGTGTCCTACACAGAGAAACCAGACAGGGCCCAGGAGTCCCCAGACTGCAAGTGAGTCCCTTTGATTCAGCGGTACTTACAGATTGGGGTGGGAAGGTTTTCGAGGTGACTGTCAGATGTGTGTGGGGACCTTAAAGTGGAGTCATGGCCCAGCCCCATCTGATAGGCTGGGCACGGGCTGCCAGGGCCTCTCCCTTCTGCCCCTCCACCCTGTCCCCATGCATTGGGACCTAGCAGAGTCCAGGCTTCTTGAGTTACCAGTCTCCTCCCTGCCTACCTGTCCTCGGGCCAACTTGGCCAAGGCAAAAGTTTGTGTTTCAGTGCCACCCCTTACCCCCTAGCCTGGTCACTGTAGTTGGGTGAGTTGGTGCTGAGCTCCTCGCTGCAGAGCCCCAGCCCACACAGACGGCTGCAAGGAGGGCAGGCCTGCTGGGACCATAGCCCACGACCTGGCCCCGGAGCTGCAAGTCTGAGGCCTCCCCACCCCAGACTGGTCTCCATCCCTGTGTTGCCTGCTCCAGAGATGGGAGGGCAGGGGTATGTGGTGCCCAGGGCTGGCAGCATCTTGGGAGCTTGAGCTCAGGCTGAGCCTGCTCCTGGGGTGGGAGGGGAAGTGATTTGCTGGGAAGTGGTGCTCTTGGCACCCTTCCCACATCTCAGGCTGTGCTTTCCCAGGGACAAGCTGCAGACTTGCTGGACTAACTTGTCATCTTGCCAGGTCCCCTAGAGAAGGGTCCTGGTCTCCAGCCTCCACTTAAGCCTTCTAGCTTGAAGCCAATGCAGAATGGGCCTGAGGACCTGAGGGTGGGAACCTGGGTTGCTTGTCCTGGAATGGAATGTCTCCTTGCAGTCTGCACTGGCCAGAAGACTTGAAGGGCTCAGAGAAAAAGAAGGATGGCCGGGAAGGGGTGAGTGTGCAGCTACCCTCAGTGCTCACCAGGGAGTGGCCCCAGACTGCCCCAACTTATCACTGGCTCCCTGGCCCATCAGGAGACCTGAGTGGGTATCGCTGTCTAGGTGGGAGTGCTGTCCTGCTGTCCTGCTGTGGTCCCAGCCTGCCTGTTGGGACCCAGTGTTACCTGGAGACAAGTTGTGCCTGAAAGTTGGCCTCCACAGCTACCAGCTGTAGCCCACGGAGGGGTGGGGTGGGCAGTGGCATTATTTCCTGGTAACTGGAGCAGGGCCCTTTTGGTGACCTCCCTGGGCCTTTGAGACCCAGCCTGTGTGTTTGCAGACACTGCTAAATAAATACAACCACCAGTACCACAAGCTCTTTAAGGACATCCCCTTGGAGGAGATGGTGCTTAAAGGTAAGCTGTCTCCTTGGAGCAGCTGGCAGGTGCCCAGGTCTTCTAGCTTGGAGCTCCTGAGGCATCATTTAGAGTGGGGGACTGGCCATTTTCTGGCTGCAGATGAGTGGGCTTCTCTGGAGGATCTGGCTGGTTTGAGATACAAAGTTAAATCTATGAAGATTTTCTTGGGGCTTTCAGATCTCATTTCTCTTCTGTTCCCATCAGTGACTACTCTCTCCCACCCCCTCCTCTCCCTGAGTGTGTGTGTGTGTGTGTTGGGGGGGGGGTGCGTTTGGATGACCGAGAGCTTGTTCCCAGGGTGGGATCTTCTGGGATCACGAAAACCCAATTGGATTGGCTGGGCAGGAAGTTCCTGGGGCTCAGGGGGTTGCGGTGGGGACAGTGGAGCAGGTAGGGGGAAACTGGGGGATGGAAGAGGGCGGTGAGGGTTCTGAGGAGGATGGGTACTGAGGCTGCAAGCTGGACTTGGGGGGGGGTGAGGACCCAGGCCTGTTGGCTCCTTGGGCGGGCCTTGCTCACCGCAGTGGTCTTGCCCATGACTTCCCAGCATGCTCCTGTGCCCTCCAGAGGGACCTCCTTATCCAGGGCCGGCTCTACATCTCCCCCAACTGGCTCTGCTTCCATGCCAGCCTCTTTGGCAAGGACATCAAGGTAGTCATGAGTGGGAAAAGTTGCCAGGGTTCATGGCAGCCCCAGGCCCAGCTCCAGCCCCAGCCTGAGGAAGGACAGCTTCCCGTGCTGTGGCCATGGCTCTAGTGATGCCTGTCCCTGTGCACGCCGGGCACATGGTGAGACCTCTCACTGGTTGGATGAGTGGTTTCCAGGGATCTTGCCACATTTGGCCCACATAATTCACAGCCAGATTATCTGCTCTGGGTAGTTCAGAGACGTCTCCAGAGCCTGACAGGGTTGTTGCCTGTGGCATTAGTGTAGTCAGAGGGTGGCTCAGGGGGCCGCATGCACAGACCGGCATTCAGAGTAACAGTGCACTCTTAGCTAATGGGCTTCATGCTGCCAAGCCTGGGGCAGGGTGGGGGAAGCCAAAGGGTCCTGGGCTGGTGCTCTGACATGGGGCTGGGCTTCCTAGGGGGTTTCCACGTGGAGGCCCAGTGCCTGCCGTGGCTGGGGAGCAAAGGGCCCGTGTCCCGCCTCCCAGGTGGTCATTCCTGTGGTGTCTGTGCAAATGGTGAAGAAACACAAGATGGCGCGGCTCCTTCCCAATGGCCTGGCCATCACCACTAACACCAGTCAGAAGGTTAGTGAGGCTTGGAGCCACTCACCCGCTCCAGCCCACTCCCGCCTTCAGTCTCCAGGGGTGGCAGTGGTCTTAGTGGCTTTCACAGCCTAGCGTCCCCACATTTTGCCGCCAGTCTTGACACAGCCTGGAGTCTGTCTCACCACTCTTCTCTGCTTCCTCTGTGTCTCAGTACGTTTTCGTGTCGCTGCTCTCCCGGGACAGCGTGTATGACGTGCTAAGGAGGGTTTGCACCCACCTACAGGTAAGAGGCTCCGGCCCCAGGCACCAGGACCGCTATTGGGGAAATTGGCACAGGGAACAGGAGCAGGAACAGGAGCACATGCTCTGCTGTGTGCCCAAGGCTATGTTTGGACTGTGGCTGTTAGTGCTCCTGAGGCCAGAGGCCCTCTGTGTCCCAAATGTATACAGCCCTGCCAGGTGCTTAACCCCACGAAGACAGGGGCTTGTGGCTGCCCCTGTCCTACAACACTGTGGCTGCACCCCTATGTGTCCTATGACATTCTCTGGTCACTGGTGAGGAAAGGGGAGAGACAGGGACACTAGCTTGGGAGAGTAAGTTTCCTGGGATTCGCTCTTCTGCTCTGGTATCAGTTAAGGGGCCCCTGTGGACTCGGGAAACTGGGCATCACCTGACCAAAGTGGCATGTTTGGAGGCACAGTCCTGGAGAATGTCAAGGCCTCCCTTTCTGATCCTCCCGGTCTCCTTCCCTCCTCAGCCTTCCAGCAAGAAGAGCCTGAGTGTCAGGAAATTCCCAGAGGATCCTGAGTGCAAGTCTCTGGTGAGAGAGGGGCTGAGTAGGGAGCAAAGGCTGCTGGCCTGAGGTCACCCGACTCTTAGGTTTCAGGGTCTCTGTGGGGTATGCTGGGGGGCGGGGGCAAGGTGCAGAACTGCAGCAGTAGACACCAGAGGTGGTGGTCATGCTGTGCCAGGGTCCCCGGGGCTCCTACCACACAGAGCCATTTAGGTCCTGGGCAGATGTGCTGACTTTCTGCGCAGAACAGAGATCCAGCCTCAGAGTGCTGGACAGTTTGGGGACCACTTGTGTGTGCATGCAGGCCAGGAATCCATCATGTTCCTTCAGCGGGGTCAGGATGGCCTTCAAGGGGGCAGAAACGCCCTGGGAAGAGAGCGCCCAGGGCTGTCATTGTGTGGCACACACAGACTTACCTTTGCCCAGGGGGTTTTAGTGTCCTTGGCAGCTATTGGGTGTTCAGCCAAGGGTGCAGATGCATAATATCACATAGGGACTGGAAGGTGATGTTCCTGTTTTTTTACTGAAAGGGACCTTGAGTCCCCATCACGAAGTCTTTGAACCCAGATCAGAAGGGGCCATGCTTTATGCCATCTGGGGCCTACTGTGCTGGTTCTTCTTGGACTCAGGCCTGGGCAGTGCCTGGCTCATCTAAGATGCCACCATGATCCCACATCCTTGATCTTTGCCCAGGGGGTTTTAGTGAAGGACTTTGTTCTTGGCAGAGGAGTTGGTGCTACAGCAGGGGAGCAGATAGGAGATTCATGATTGTTGCTATGGCAATTGTCCATACCCCATATCTGCTTGCCTGCTTGGCTAGGCATGTATAGTGATAGTATCTGGAGAAAGACTCAAACCTGGTGTAGGCCCTTTAGGGCAACAGAGCTCTCAGGGGTCACGAGGAAATATCTTCTCCTGTCTCCTCTGCAGGAAGTCCTCATTCCCAAGATGAAGTGGAGAAAAATATGTCCTGCCCCCAGGTCGTTGTTGATTTCAGACAGCATTCCCTGTGTCCCTCAGGAATCTCTGGACTCCACAGATGGCCTCTTGCCCTCTGGGAAGCCTGCTGGGCCTGGTGAGTTGGGGGCTTATCTGCTAGGTGCTGGGTTTTCTCTCAGGTGTGTGAAAAGGGCAGTCCACAGTCAGCAGTCCAAGAGCCATTGTTTCTTGTTCCAAATACTCGCGATGTGGCACCTTAAGCCCAAGGATGGTGCTTCACAGTTGTCCTGGCTTTGCAGAGGATGCTGCCTGTGAGACCTGGGAACATGAGGAAGAGCCAGCAGGAGAGTGGGAGCTGCAGCTTTGGGATTCCCGTCTCCTCAAGGTCATCTTCACACTGTAGGTGACTGTCATGGGGAGGAAAGGAAACCCACAGGGGCTCAGGGTGCAGAGGGTGGGGAGGTCACAGTCTGCAGCCAGAGGAAGGCTGGAGGCCGTCTCCAGGCTCTCAGGTGCTGAGTGTGAAGTCTGCTAGACTCGTCCTCTCTCCAGACTCCCCAAACCCTGGGATTGAGGCTTACGGTCATGGCATGCAGAGACCACTGAGAAAAGGGAAAGCTGCTGCCTGAGATTTGGGAGACAGAGTTGGCAGATGAAAAGGGGCCATCAGATGGCTGGGGAGAAATGCTGCCAGGGGAAAGACTCACTGTCCCAGTGGAACCCTGACCCATACACAGCCTGTCTGGGGACAGTGGTGCAGGGAGTGTGGTGGGTGGTTATAAGCACAGTGAACTCCTGCCTCCTCCCCATGCCTTGGCTACTTCCCTGGCACTGTGGGGCTGAGTGTGACTGTCAGCTGTAGCTCCTGTGGGGCAGTGGGACCACACTTCGGAGATGTCATGGTGGCCTCCCAGTTGAGGTGAAGGGGCCAAGTAGTTATGGCTTGAAATGTCTGGTTAGGGCTCACCTATAAGGCCCATGATATAGATTCTTGCTAGGCTAAGAAAACATTCCCATGGGGACAGGTCTCAGGACCCATGTGTGGCCTGTGGAAACAGGATGCCAGGCCTGCATGTGACTGCAGAGCAAAAGCTTCCTTAATTCCTCCCATTGCAGGAGTAGCTTAGTTACCATTTGTGTTTCTGGTGAGCCTCCAAAAACCCCCTTTTTCTTTTCTTTTCTTTTTTCTTCGTTGAGTGTGTGTGTGTGTGTGTGTGTGTGTGTGTGTGTGTGTGTGTGTGAGAGAGAGAGAGAGAGAGAGAGAGAGAGAGAGAGAGAGAGACTGAGAGAGACTCTATCTTACTATGCAGTCCAGGTTAGCCTTGTACTCACTAGGTAACCTAGGCTCCCAAGTGCTGGCATTACAGATGTGCAACACCCAGCTAGAAGGCCTTTGTTCTAGAAGAGAGACTCAACTCCTTCTTGCACATTTCTCCAGGATCTGCTTCTTGGTCATATCCTCTTCCTATCTGGCATTTCGAATCTCCCAGTTGGAACAGCAGCTGTGTTCCTTGGATTCAGATGGGCCAGTCCCTGGGCACAGGTGAGGCCTTGGTGGCTGCGAGTTGAGGGGAGGAGCCAGGCCACCTGCTTCCCTGGCTGCCTCAGCCCTGCTGGGGCCTGTTTGATGTTGGGTGCTGTCGAGGGTATGCAAGTCACACCCCGGCCTGCTTGCACGAGGGGAGAAAGGTTTTGCTGGCCCTCCTGCCCATGCCTAACTGCCTCCATTGCCCTTCCTCTGATCTGAGCATCTTTCCTGGGTGCTGGTAATGGCTGCCTGGCCTTGGTCCTCACACCTCTCCAAGAAGAATGCTTGGATGCTAAGACCAGTTTGTGCTGCTGCCATGCTGAGGCCGAATATGAAGGGAACATTTCCGATACTCCTCCTCCCCATCTTCTCCTGCCCTCCACCAGTGAACTCAAGCACCTGTTTACAAAGTGACTGGTTCCTCCAGATCTGGGACTCAAAAAGAATCTAGATTCTTGGAAGCAGCTGAAGAATTCTGTATACTAAGCTCCTGCAGCCACTTCAATGAGAACAACATTTAACTTGCTCCTGGGAGACTGCTCAGGCATACAGGCCAGGCCCTTGGGACCTGGGGATACAAAGGCCATGCTTTGATAGCTGGAATGTGGCTCTGTCTTCCATGGCTTCTCGGGGTGGGGCAGAGCACAGAGCACCTGTCCACCATGTCCTAACACACCTGGGCCCCTTGGGTCCTGCAAGTCCCTGTTCTGGAACCCAGCCCACAGGGCTCTGCAGGGAGCCAGGCACCTGTCAGGCCTCAGGCAGGGGCTCCTGGCTGGGACCAGTGGGAGATGAATGTGCATGCCCTGAGGAGGCAATGAGCCAGTCCCTGCAGCGCCCAACAGAGTCAGCCAGCTGCAGAGATGGAGTCCCCAGCAGCGGGTTTTGGGGCTGTGAGGTCCCAGAATTCCATGTCCCCAGCTGTCACTTGCTGGTGAGACAGGTACAGCAGGGCTTCCTTTGATCACTGTGGTCACAGATCTGGTACTAGGTTTGTCCTTGGTGTCCTCAACCATTTCCGAAGTAGTCCTGGGCCCTGAAAGTAGGTGACAGGAAGGGTGGGAGCTGTGATTGGAGGTCTCCTTGTGTCCTCCCTGCCTGACTACTCTCATCTCAGGCATGGACAACAGCAGCCTGCTGGGGAGGTTTGGCTGGGGAGCTGAGTGTGATAGTATCACTCATGTCACCTGCTGCCCACGTGCCAAAGGCCATGAAGGCTCTGTTCTGTATTAATAAGGTGGGGGTGTCCCGGGGGGCCTGGCCATTGCAGAGAGCAGGTGAAAGTAGGGCCTTCTGCTTACCTGGAGAGTCCTGTGTTGTAACAGGAACTGTGGCCTGGCCTCCCCTGGGCTCTCATCTGCTGACCGGGCCTTTGGAGGCTCTGGAAGAGCCTGGTGATGACAACCTCACATGAGGACTGACTGGTGGCACCAACAGTAGGTGATAACTCCCCCAGAGCCCCTACTGGAGGTCTCTCTATCTTCTCCTTGTCCCCTTTCTCAGACGGAGCCTGAGGCCTGGCTTCATATGCTGCTTGCTCCAGATCAGTCTCAGGTGAAACTTAGGCTTTGCCCTCACACAGCCATGCTGGTGAATGCCTGGCCCATCACTCATTGCCCTCATAATTTCAGGGAAACAATCCTTGCCCAGTGCTTCACCTCCTGCTCCTTGCTGACAGGCAGGAAAAACAGATCCATTCGCTAAGCTTTGCTTTGTGGAGCTGGCGGCCGAGGGAAGTGCCAAGTCACGGATAGCAGTGCTAAGGTGCTCGGGAGCCCGGTCCCTTGCCAAACCACAGGCTCGGGAGGGTCAGGAGGTATGCAGTGGGATGGGTGGGCAGGGTCCCATTTGGGGCCTAAAGCTTCAAGCCCTGTGCCTGCAATTTGCCATTCCAATTATTATGTTAGTATTTGCTGCCTGCGAAGCAGCCGTAGGTCTAGCGTTACTAGTTATAATCTCCAACTCGCTGCTCCCGCTGGAGTGTCCACTCTCTGTTTCTCTCTTTTGTCCCCCAACCTGGTCCTTCTGTGCATGGCTGTAAACTGATAATCTATGCATTCCCACCTGCACTGGCAGAGGCTTCTCTGATTCTCTGAGACTTTGGGTTTACTAGCCCTTGTTGATCCACTGTGGCATTAGCCTTTGACATTTTTAAAAATAAATGCATTATTTTCTAATGGCCCATGGCATGAAAAGTTTGTTTTTCTCCTGTGATGACTCTTTTAAGGTACTCTGCTGATGTACTCTGCACTGAGGAGACTGACGCAGCCAGGTCATTCCCAGGATCCCAAGGACACTGTGGATCTCAAAGGGTCCAGCTGACTGAACCTGCTCCTGACTGAACCTGAATCCAGCATATGGGGAAGGGCAAAGGCAGCCAGTGCTTGTACAGTGCTTCCTTATTTCTCCTGTGCGACGTCCCCTAATAGTTCTTGACTCAGAAATTTAATGTGTGGAGGGCAAGGCTGCAAGGCTTCCATGGCCTTTTCCGTGACTTCTACACAGGCTGCATTCCAGCTTGGGGTACATTGCGTTTCTTTGGTCCAGACCCTGTGCCAGCTGCAGTGCCAAGCATGCAGGCAGGGGCCGTATCCTAACGGCACCACCCTTAAATCGGTACAGGTGAGTACCAAGCAAATCTGTGAGCAAACCAGATTTGTTTGCTCCCCTGCAGGGAGCTGCAGGTTGGGATCAGGTTCCATAAAAGTAAGCCGTAGTGACACGAGATGAAAAAGGAGATGGCTTTAGGTGAGATGTGCGAGATTTCTCTGAAGTGACATTTAAGCTAGTACCTGCAGGACAAGGTGCCAGTCCTGGGAAGAGCTGGGAGATGGCATTGCTGGGAGAGGGATCAACAGCTGCACCACTGTCCCCAGACAGGCTGTGTATGGGTCAGGGTTCCACTGGGACAGTGAGTCTTTCCCCTGGCAGCATTTCTCCCCAGCCATCTGATGGCCCCTTTTCATCTGCCAACTCTGTCTCCCAAATCTCAGGCAGCAGCTTTCCCTTTTCTCAGTGGTCTCGTATCCAAAGGGCGTACAGGACTCAAGGGTACTAACCCAGTGACAGTGACATGAAAAGAGGCTGGAGAGGTCATCCCCAACAACAGAAAACAACTCCTTTAGACATTTCTCTAACAAACAGAGGTATACAAATGGTCCATAACCAATGAAAAAAATGGTCACATTGTTACCAATTATAAGAATGTAAATCAAAATCATAATGAAATATTACCTCACAATCATTAGGATGACTGCCATCAAAAAATAACAGTTTTCAGGGATGTGGGAACATTGGAACTTGTGTACATTATTGATGGGAATAAACAATGGTGTCACTTGGAATGGTTTGGGGCATAGTTCAGAAATAGAAGTGCTTGCTTGGCATACTTGAGACCCTCTGTTCAACCCATAGCATGTGCACATGTGCACAAGGCTAGCTGGAAAATAGTGCTTACTCCAAAACTAAAATGCAGAATTATATGACCCAGCAATTCCACTTCTGAGTATGCACTAAAAACATTGAAAGCAGGTATTGAGATATTTGTAATACCCATGTTCATAGCAGAATTAGTCACAGTATCAAGAGGCAGGGTTGGGGGTGTGACTTAGTGGTAGAGTGTTTGCCTAATGTATGCTTCAGTATTGGTGATCCCCAATACCAGGGGACAAAAAGGTAGAAACAACTCAAGTAGTTGTTGAGGCATGAATGAATAAGCAAAATGTGGGCCACTCATGCAACAAATATTACTCAGCTTTGAGAGGGATGCAGTTCTGACACATGGTATGACCTGGATAACCCTTGAGGATATTATGCTGAGAACACGAAGCCAGTCACAAAAAAACAAATACTGTCTGACTTTATTCATAAGCTGCATAAAGAGGCCAGCTTCATGGGGACAAAAAAAGTGGAACAGCAGTGATGCACAGTTGTTTCATGGGTAGTTTCAGTTTCACAAAATCAAAAGAAATCTGGAGATTGGTGTACATCAACGTGAATACAACTATTCCTGTATTGCACACTTAAAATGGTTAAATACTAAAAGCTATGCCTATTTTCATTTGCACATTCTTTGAAAATTATAAAAAGAGTAATGAAGGGGGCTGGGGATTTAGCTCAGTGGCATAAGCACCTGCCTTGCAAGTGTGCGGTCATGAGTTCGATCCCTGGTACCGATAAAAACGAAAAAGACCAAAAAAAAAAAAAATTAAAAAAAGTAATGAAGTAAGTAAGGGAACAGTTTGGATTTTATAGACTCCCTGGGTATCGCAGCTCAGCTCTGAAAGTGTGAGGTTGGTGGGGTGGTGTAGGAGGTCTAGAAGCCAAGCGCTGCCCTTTGCTGGTAGACAGATGTGCACATGACATGCGTAGCTGGGTGTCATGTGCAGAAGAACACGGCTGATGACCTGGGGACTTCAGCAAAACCAATCAACCAAACTAACTTTTAAAATCTGCCCCTCTGGGCTGTGGATTTAGCTCAGTGGCATAAGTGCCTGCCTTGCAAGCGTGTGGTTGTGAGTTGATCCCCGGTACCGATAAAAAAGAAAAAAAAGAAAAGAAAAAAATCTGCCCCCCTTATACTTACTGGTTCCTACTGACACCATCACGGAGAAGGCGTTTCATGACATTGCTAATCTTTAAATCAAAGTGAGCTGGCTTTATGAAGGGCCAACACCTGCCTTATTTGGGGAACTGGAGGGAATATATGTGGCAGCACCTGGGTTTTACACTGTGGACCTTAGTCAGAGGGAAAGGGCCTTGGGAGGGAAAGGCATTCTAGATAAGGGGGAATTGAGGAAGGGAGGGGGGAGCTCAGAGGACTAGCTCACCAGAGACTGGAAGTCCAGAGTCCTGGAATAAGGCACTGCCCACTCCAGGTGACTTCCACCTGGATGCCAGGCAGGTTATTAGGCCCCTGGCAACCTGGCAAGATCTCGACACCTATGCTGCCCCTCTCTCCTAACCACTGGGCCCTCAAGTCATGGAGTCCTGGGCCAGAGAATTTCCCAGGGAAATTCTCTGGTTTGCCTGAGGCTGGATGGAGGCCAGTTCTCTCTGACAAGGAAAAGATGACAACTGGCCCACTAGGTGGCAGCAAAGTCCAGCAAGAAGACCAGGACCTACTGGGTAAAAGACCTGATTGTTCTCAAAGCAAGGTCCCAGCCGTCTCCTTGCTGGGGGAAACAGGCCCCACCAGCATCTCGGAAGAAGAGAGTCTCGGGCTAGCTGGGTAGTCATCTTCTCCCCTTCAGAGTCTCCTCCTGGGCCAAGGCCTGCGGTGACCAAGAAGGTAATGATGTCAGGGCTCTCCAGACCTGGTGCAGGCTCTGCGGGTGGGAAAGCAGAGCCAGTGGCTTCAAAGCTTAAGTGTGCGTCTGTGTGTGCCTGGTTGTTGGAGTGGGGTGGTCCGCTTGTAGGGCTTCGAGACCCCAGGCTCTTCCCGGCCCTGCCCTTGTTGTTCGAGGCATCTTTTCTCACTCTGAACTGAATGAAAGAAATCTGTGTCCCATCAAGTGTGCAACAGGGTGGCAGTGACACTTTCTCCTCCTACTTAGGGAACATGCTTCAGACCCCAGGGCAGAGAGGTCAGAAGGCTAACAGTTAAGTGGGCTTTGTCCATGGAGAGGCCCTAAGCCTCTGCAGTGATAATCCAGAGAAACCTGAGTTCATCCCTCTCCATGCTGAGACAGACAAGCTGCACCTGGCGCCACAGCGCCCCCCCCCCCCCAGCTGCCATCCTGTGGCAGGACTCCTGCCTCCCTGGAATGTGTTCCTTCTTGTTTGCCACTCAGTTTCTGGCTGGGGGCCAGACCTCGGGTGCTCAGAATGTGACGCCCCACTCCTGTCCTGGCCCCTGCAGGAGCTGACAGGCTCTCTCCTGCTCAGGAGGCGTGAGGTCTCTGGGGACCTCCAGACTACAGAGGCTGAGGGCAGGGCACTTAAGGGGACAGAGCTGCGTGCCCGTCGAAGCTGGAACATTGCTATCTTATCCCACTGGCAGCTTCTAAATTGGGCTAGAGTGGGCAAAGAGTTACTCACAAGCTGTTCATTAACTTGCTAAATGCAGAGAAGCTGGCTGGGGCACCACTTTGGGAAAATGTGACACCCACCTCTCCTGGATTCAGTCTAGCATGAAGGCATGCTAATTGGTGTAGGATTTCTGATGGAAGTTTTTCTTTGCCTCTGGTTCTAAATGCCAAGCCAATCTGAATGGCACACTGTCTCCAGCACATAACCACAGTTAAGCAGTTTATGAAGTCGCTTCCATGGGTTCCTGCCTGTGTTCCTATAGCTCCAGTGACGCCAGCACTGTCTGAGCATTTCAGCAGCCCCCCTTCTGGGTGCTGTTTATGACCATTATCTGATTTAACTCCCAATGCAACAACGTGGTTTTCACAGTTTGTCCCGTGGAAGCAGGCATGGATAGAAATACGGACAGCATTGACCCCATGAGCAGTCTGATAGGAGTGGTAGGATTGCTGTGCAACAGTGAAAACAGGGAGGGGGATGGCAAGTTCTAGAGGGGAGTCATGCGGGCTGACTCAGCAGCGCTTGAGGGCTTCAAAAAATGAGTAAGACTAGGATCTGTGGAGAGACGTGGGGGGTCCTCCTGAAATGTGTGTTTGGAAGGGTAATCAGTGAAAGGTTGGGGGTGCAAAGGGTGGTGCTGATGAAACGAGGAGATACCTCAGTGGGCAGAATCCCTTTGCATCTAAATGTCAGGATAAAAAAAGAAGTTTGATCTTTCAGGCAGTGAGGAATTAAGGGAGCTGTCTCTGCTTAGAAGTGACAAAATGTGGTGGGTTAGGAAGATACTTTGCGCAGTGGAGGACAAGGTTGATTAAAAGTTCCATAAAATGTCATTGTTGACTGTGGTTGGTTGCAGCACTATTGACATTTTGGGCTGCATAATTTTTGTGACAGGGGTTACCCTGGGTCTTGTAAGATGCTTAGCCATATCCTTGGCCTCTGTCCACTTGATACCAGAGTAACTGTCACCTGTGATTGTGACAACCCAAAATACCTCCAGACATTGCCAAATGTCTTCTGGGAGAAGGGGCTCGGCAGGGCTGTCCCTAATTGATAATCATTGGTTAGGCTGGCAACAAGTTAAGATCTAGGCCTCAAAATATTGGCAAGTTTTGTTTTATTATTGCTCTTTGTTTTGGGGGTGCTGGTGGTTGAATCTGGACCTCTGCTATATACCACTGAGCCACACCCAGCCCCTGAACTATACACTCCTGGGTATTTTCTTTTCTTTTTTTTTTTTTTTTTGTCTTTTTCCTTTTTATCGGTACCAGGGATCAAACTCAACGACTGCCTGCTTGTAAGGCAGGCGCTTATGCCGCTGAGCTAAATCCCCAGCCCTACTCCTGGGTATTTTCTTAACATACTGTGTCAGCCTATTGGCTTTTAGAATTGCTGATAAAAGTAAAAATGGTTTCCATGCCATGGGAAATTCATCACTGATGCCAAAGAACTTAATGGCATAGGAAAAGAAGCTTTAGAAATAGATCATTCCACGTATTTCAAATCTCTAGGGAAAAATACAAAGCAACAGATAATGTGCTCAAGATTCATAAACAAGAAAGTGGCTGGTATCGGGACTGCTTTTCTTTTTTTTTTAAACGGTACCAGGGATTGAACTCACGACTGCCTGCTTGTAAGGCAGGTGCTTATACCACTGAGCTAAATTCCCAGCCCCAGGACTGCTTTTCTTACCCAGCCCCCAAATCATACCTTACTGAAGAGCTACATTGAGTAAGGAATGCCCAGGCAGACGTAAAGGCTACTAATCCGAGTTTTCCTAGGTTTACATTTATACTTCTAGATTTTTTTTTTTTAAATTTTGGTCTTTTTCATTTTTATCGGTACCAGGGATGGAACTCATGTCTGCCTGCTTGCAAGGCAGGCGCTTATGCCGCTGAGCTAAATCCCCAGCCCCTAGAATTTTTTTGGCAATGGATAAGAGTAGGTGGACTCTTGGCCTGTGAAGACACCTGGTTTCCCAAGTGCTGTTTCCCACCTGGTTTCTTTAAAGCAGGAATCGATGAAGGATGGCCTAGTGACTGGCTGCTTACTTTTATAAATAGTTTTATTGGAACACAGCCAGGCCCATTTGTGTACTGTATTGTCTCTTGATGCTCTTCCAAGGTAGAGTTGAGTAACTACCACAAAGACAAAAAAGCATAAAATATTTATTGTCTGGTCCTTCAGGGAAAACTGCCAATTCCTAGCCAAAAGAAAAATGCCCGGGTTGTATAAAATTGTGGATTCTTATTCTTATTCTGTTGTTAGGTGTTACAGTTTGTATCTGGAGGTCTCCCTAAAGTAATCATAGGCAGGACCTTTGGAGGGTGATTAGATTTTGGGGCTTTACAGCTGACTTGCTGTTAGAAGGTAGGGCCTGGCTGGAAGAGAGCAGTCACTTTGGGTGTGACCCTGAAGGGGTTATCTCCTTGTGTGGCTCCTCTTTTCTCTCTCCACTTCCTGTTGTCCATGCTGTGAGTAACTCTCCTCTACCCAGGCCCTCTGTCATGCTGTCTGCCTCGGAGTGACTGAGTACAGACTGAAACTTCCATACACTGTGAGCCTTTAAGTTGTGGGTGTCGGGTAATGTCCCAGCAATGAGGAAGTGACTAGGACAGTAGGGGTGACAGATTTTGTTTCTTTTTCTTCATTCAAATAACTGAGTGCTTACCATGGGTTAGGCACGAGGCTAAGTGCTTGGAATATATCAGGGAGTATGGCAAATCAAGATGTTTCTCTTCATGGTGTTTATTATATATACTAGAGTGATGTGAGGGAGGTTGGTAGCAAGCTAACTAAAGCAAGCTAATAACTAAATCATGTAGTATGTTAGAAAGGTGATAAATTCTAAGAGAAAATGGGGAAAGGTAGAAAAAGAAGAGCCAGATGTGGTAGCACATGCCTATTATCTCTTACTCAGGAGGCCAAGGCAGAAAGTGACAAGTTTGAGGCCAGCCTGCACAACTTAGCAAGAGCCTGTCTCAAAAGAGAATCAGGGGGAGGAGCAAAGATGGTGGATAAATAACAACTGGCTACAGAGGCTCCCTGAGATAGTCAACTTAGAATTCAACATAATACGGAGCGGGGAGCCTCAAACAGAGGGAGATGAATTCTCTCATCCCAATAAGAAATTAAGGCGATTTGCCGAGGTCCCACCGTGACTTGCTGAGGTCCCACCTTGACTTGCCAAGTCATTCAAGGTCCTGCTGCTTCAACATTGAGTTTGGAGGTTGGCAAGCAAAAAGGAGAGCTGAGTTGGCAGGGTGCCTACATTGACCTATGGTGAGTGACTGGGAGTGGAGCCATTCTATAAATAGGGGGGCTCTGGCAAATGACATTCTGGGACTGGGTAGAACTGGCAAGTACAAGGGGCAGCAGTGACTTTAGTAAGTTGTTCCCTTCCCGAATGGGATTGGTGGAGTGAGCTAGGTCTGGGTCATGTGACCTGGCTGAGACCCAATAGGTTACCCGAAATCAAATCCCTACAGTGGTGGCGCACACTAACCACACTAACACAGTGAAACGTCAGAAGTTTGACTGACAGTGCAGGCCACAGCAGCTTGACTGATCTGGAGGAGAGGGACCAGCATACGCTGTCCCTGTCTGCAAGTTACTAGCACACAGTAGTGTGAAGGGTCATCTAGCCAGTGCGCTTCAGAAGAATGTAACCAACAAAGAAAGAAAATGGGGCCTCCTGGAAGAAGCAAAAAAGATGGGAAGAGGAAGCAACAACAAAAAACTCCCCAGGCCCAACACTGAGAACATGGACCCAGGACAGGTAAATACAAAGGACAATGAGAACAACAAATATGCAATATCACACACAGCACCAAGGGACATAAAGAGATATATTTGGGACCTCATAGATGACTTCAAAAGTGAAATATTTAGCCAAACAAAGCAAGATATAAGAAGATTAATAAAAGAGATACTAAGCACCCCTCAAGCAGACACAGACGGAAGGGAGGAACTCAAAGGAGAATACCATTTGATGAAGAATATAAAAAAATATAGAATACATGAAGCAGATTCAAAGAGAATCACCAGGAAATTAAAAATTCTATGGAAAGATGGCACATCAGCTTGAAAGAAACTAAGGATAGATTATCCTAACTGGAGGACAATTTTGCAATGTGGGATTATGAAAGGGAGAACTTTTAAAAAATAACAAGGAAACAAGCAGTAACAATACAAAGGCTAGAAGATGACAAAAGGATCTATAACTTGAGAATAAAGAATGTGAATGAAGGGGCTGGGGATTTAGCTCAGTGGTATAAAGCGCCTGCCTTGCAAGCAGGCAGTCATGAGTTCGATCCCTGGTACCGATAAAAAGGAAAAAGACAAAAAAAAAAAAAAAAAAAGAAAAGAAAAGAAAAAGAAAAAAAAAGAATGTGAATGAAGAAGCAGGGGTACAAAGGAACTACAAAGGTTATTCACAGAAATAAATTAAGGAAAACTTCCCAAACATAGGAAAAGGAAATGATATTCTGATATATGAAGCATACAGAACTCCAGCCACCTACAACCAAAACAGAGCCACACCCAGGCATATAATAATCAAGATCCCAGAAATTCAATATAAGAACAGAATATTAAAAGCTGTTAGAGACAAGAAACAGATAACCTGTAGAGGAAGGCCATCAGAATAATGGCAGACTTCTTGACACAAACCATCAAGTCAAGAAGAGCCTGGGAAAAAAAAAAAAAAAAAAAAAAAGAAGAGCCTGGGAGCGAAATATTCCAAGCCCTGAAAGAAAATAACCTCTACCCCAGATTGATATACCCGGCTAAACTATCTCTAGAAATTAATGGAGAAACAAGATTTTTCCAAGACAAAGAGGAACTTGAGAAATTCGTAACCACCAATCCAGCTCTACAGAGAATACTGTAGGGCATGAGAGAGAGAGAGAGAGAGAGAGAGAGAGAGAGAGAGAGAGAGATACCAGGATTCAGGATTCCAGGAACAGTGGCAGAGAAGTCTCAATGAATGCAGCAGAAAACAGAATGCAGAAGATAAGCAGAGAACTAATGGCAAAAAAAGAGCATAACAGAAATGAGGCAGAGAAGGTTGTTTATAATCTCTAATATAGATGGCCTTGATACATTAAATTAAAAAAAAAGAACCACATGTGGAGTAGATCAGGAGGGAGAGTCCAAGATCTATTTATAGGAAATATAATTAACATGAAAAAGAGTACATGGACTGAAAATCAAATATGAGAAAATAATGCTCTATGTGACAAACAACCAGAGAGTAATAGGGGGCAACTAGACCAGTATTTCTGGATAGGTTGGAAAGACAGGCTTTAAAAGGTAAAAGAATGCAATTAGAGATCAAGTCCAGGAGAGAGAAGGTTCAGAACCACTTAAGTAAATAGCAGGTCCCCTCACCCCAATTTAAAAACTTCTTGGTCAGACCCAAAAATGCAGTGTATCCTGGGGAAGTGAAAAGGGAGGAAGAGTCTTAAAAAAGATGGCAGAAGATAGTTAATAGTGTACCAGGATTTAAAACCCACGTTACTTGCACCACTCTGCTTAGATTTTTTTTTTTGGATAGATTTATTCTGTCCCAGTTTGTCTACCTGCATTAGATTTGAGGGCACAGACAGCTATCCCAAAAACATCAGGATATAGCACAGTAATCATCTTTAATTTCCTATTATCTTAATCTGGAGCCTTGTATGACTTATACTGTCTTATCATGAATGATCTTAGTTAAATCTGGTTTGTTTGGTTGCTGTTTGGTATCAACAGATTTTATTCAAAACTGATATGCTTGATAGTATGAAGTCTGAGAGTATAGGCAACTACACTGAAGATGACAAGACTCTATGATACACATTCTGGTTTGATAACTGCCTGCTTTTGAAATTTTATACTATATTCAAAGTTGTGTTTTTATTAATACTGTTATGTACTGATATATTCAATTATACTATGTTATGGATTAAGAACTGGTGATCAACTTAACACCAGCTGGATTATATCAGTATTGCATTGAGTGAAGATGTTCCACCTGAGGAAAGTTGCCAGGATAAATGGGAGGAGAAGGGAATGTTGAAGGTTGAGGCGTTAAAGAGGCATTGTGGGTTCTCCTATGAGTTGCTGTCTGAGCTGTTGGTTCTCCTGAAGAAGCTTTGGTCTTTTACATCGAGCATTGCGCTTCCTGGCTCCGGAGGGGTAAGACATGTGCTGCTTGGTCTTCAGGATGACGTTGCTTCCTGGCACGTACCCGACTGTGCTTGTCGTTGGAGGAGCTCAGGGTCTCTGTGTTGCTGAGGACGGCTGTGGTGCCTTTCAGGATAGCCCTGGTCTTTGTTGTGAGTGTGACTTCTCGGCTATAGCGTAGAACCCTCATCCCACTAGCACAGCTCCTTCATCCTGATGGCACAGACTTTCTTGCTTCCACCGCTGACCCTCGGGTCTTCCCGGTATGGATCCGTAAAAGAGACTGGCGTGAGTCCTTCTTGTGGGCTCTGGACCTCCAGCTGGACTCGTGGAGGCATTGTCCTGAGCTCTGGGGTTTATCTGGACTCATGTGGGACATTGCTGTGGGGTTTAGGCTCTTGACTAAATAATCTATGTCTTTGGTGTTGCGGATAGATTTCCTGCATTTTCCTGTGTTAACTCCTGGTGACCATTATAAAAAAAATATTACAAAACTCCATGTCCTAATCCTAATTGTTCTCTGTGTACAACCCCTAACTACGACACATAGCCAATTCTATTGAAGATAACAAGAGACAACACAGGAACTATGGTAGAACTTTTTGTACAATGGTCTTATATGTCTTTTTTGTTTCATGTGTTTATAGGAATATGTTTTGTTTTGTCTTGCTTTGTTTTGTTTCTCCAATATAGAAATGATAGAAATACATGTTAGGACTCCTTCATGTGTAGATCTATAAGCGGTTTATGAGAACTGATCTTATGACATGTGATGAAATGAACAGATACTATGAAGAAAAAGAGACACTAAAGTACCCCGTGCTGATCCTGGAGTGTCATAGTGAGACACCCAGCAATAGTATTACTCTTTGTTTAGAGTGATATTAGCTGGTTTGGGTTTGTTCAATCTCAACATAATTGAAGATAAGGAAAACTGCATGTATGTTTAAATGTATAGGATTGACAACCATGTTACTAAGTTTTTGCTGGACAGTTGAACAGAACTGTTTGCAGTTTCGCTGTTTGAATTCCTGCTTTACATGTTTCATTTTTGTATCTTGAACTACTATTTGTAAAATGACAATATATAAACATCAACTAGTGATTTTTTACTGTTTATTTTTTTCTCTGAACGTATGTATTATTTCTACCTATTTTCTGTTTTGTTTAGTCTTTCTTTAAATAAAAATTAAAAAAAAAAAAGAATCAAAGGAGGTTAGGAAGTAGCCCACCTAGGATGTGCATAGTCCTGGGTTTGATCCCTAGTATTGTTAAAAAAAAGGGGGGTTGGCAATGCTGTTAGGGTATTGCCATTGGAAAAGAGCAGTCAGAGAGGATCTAACTGAGGAGCTGGTATTTAAGGAAAGAAGTGAAAGAATAAGCTTTATGGAAGCAGGGAGTAAGAATAGCATGTACGCAGGGTCTGAGGCAGGAAAGGGCCCAGCTTGCTTGTCCCCAGCGAAGTAGCAGGTATAGCTGGAAGAGAGAACAAGAGGGGCTGGGCGGGGGGAAAAGCTGGAAGAACATGGGAGGTGACTATAAGAATTTTGGATGGGTTGGGTGTGATGGTGCACGCCTGTAACCCCATCACTGGGGAGGCTAAAGCAGGAGGATTGTTTTGAGTACAAGGCCAGCCTGGGTTACATAGTGAGTTCAAGGTCTGTCTGAATTACATAGTGAGACTCTGTCTCAAAAAGACAAAGAGAAAGAAAGAAAAAGGCAAAAAGAACAAAAGAACTTTGGATAAAGTATAATGATCTTTTATTATATATACTTAAAAGGATCATCCTTGGCTGCTAGGGTGGGAAAGGTATTTTGGTTAGGTTTTTGTAGTGATCCAAGCAAGTGATGGCAGTGGTGGTTCTAACTAGGACGACAGAAGTAGAAATGGGGGAAATGGGCAGGCTGTGGGCCTATTCTGAAGGCAGAAGCAGCAGGGTCACTGCTGAGCTGGAGATAGGGTACTACAGGAAAAGAGTCTTAAGGAGGACTTCATAATTTTTGACTTGGCAGGATGGACATGGAGAAAGCCATGAGTGAGACCTTTGGAAACTGTGGGGTGGAAGATCAGAAATGCAGAATTGGACATGGCAAGTTTGAGATGAGCTTCTGATAACTGGAGGGGGTTGTCAGGTGGACATCTCTATCTCTGTCTGGGAGATAAGAGATTTGAGAGTTATGGTGTTTATGAGCATGACCCTGGATGAGGTCATCCAGGGAGTTAATGTTGGTGGACAGAGAGGCTGGAGGACTGGGCCCTGAGGAGCACTGTCAACTCGAGATCGGGGAGAAAAGCAAGAACTAGCAATGGAAATCGAGCGCCTGATAAGGAAGGAGGAAACTAGAAAGTTTGATGTCCTGGAAACCAACAAATTTACATCAGGGCAGAGACCATGATGGACACTGCTAAGCAACCAGTGTTACTGTGGTTCAGCCAACACTTTTTACCATTTGAATGTAACCCAGAACTTTCCAAACTGAAAAACTTCAAATAATTTTATGTTTTTGGGTCATTCTTTCAACACAAAAATGACCTGAGACCTAACTCCAATCACTGTGTAAGGGTCTGAGAATTCCAGGATTGCTTCAGTGTCTCCTGGGTCAAACTCTGTCCAATGTCCTGTGTGGCCACCATCTCTTGTGCCTTGGTCATTTCTTTTATGGTTCATCATGTGCTGCTCCTCACTCTGCATTCTTCCAAGGGACCCACTGCCAGGACAGGTCTGGGTATCTCCAAACTGTGAGGTTTAGAGTTAAGACTACACTATGGAGCCAGAAACTTCAAATTCGACTCATACACATCTGATGATAGTATTTAATAGCTTTTTTTTTTGTTTGTTTGGTTTTTTTCTTTGTTTAGAGAGGGTCTCAGTATGTAGCCCGAGCTCATGGCAATTTTCCTGCCTCAGCCTCCTGCATGCAGGAATTACAGATGTGCTCTATGATGGCAAGATTTAGTATTTTTAATTATAGCAGGAATCTCAGTAGCCATGCCTTTTAGTAGGGCCCTAACTCCTAGTTCTCTCACTAATCTCCCCTCCTGTTTTCTAGGTCTCATTGTCTTTCACTAGGCCAACCAATGAAAATCCAAATTTCTTTAGTTGGCATAATTAGTCTCTTGGCCTGCATGGACTAACTAATATCTTTTCTTGACCACAGAGATCGAGGTGTTTGTTCCAACAAACCAACAAGCTCTCTAGAAAAATATCTTCATGGTGGTGCATGTCTAGAATTCCAGAGCTCTAGGAAATTGAGGCAGGAAGATTGTAAGTTTGAGTACAGCCTGGGGAACTCAAATTTAGCAAGACCTTGTCTCAGAATGTTTCTTAAAAAGAGGGAACAGAGGATGTATTTCAGAGCAAAGGCCCTGTGTTTAGGCCCCTGTACTAAAAAAAGGAAATGAAAACATGTTATGAGACATTTTTTAGAAATTAGGAAAGCTACATTCATTTTTTTTTTTTTTTTTGTCTTTTTCCTTTTTATCAGTACCGGGGATCGAACTCATGACTGCCTGCTTACAAGGCAGGTGCTTATGCTGCTGAGCTAAATCTCCAGCCCCGCTATTTTGGTTTTAATAGCAATCTTTCTTTTCTGTTAAAATAGAAAAACATAATATTAACAACCAAGATGTAAGTTTAAGGCCAGCCTAAACTACATAGCAAGAGCCTGTATCAAAAAATAAACAGACAAATAAACATAAAATCAAAATGCAGTACAGCCTGCTGGATAAGAGTGAAAGTTCTGGAATGAGGGTACCTACAATTTTTTTTTTTTTTTTTTTGGTACTAGGGATCGAATTCAAGAACTTGCACTTGCCAGACTGGTGTTTGTGCCACTGAGTTAGCTCTCAGCCTGAGTGTAACTACATTTAAACCTATTCAGTTTACTTAACTGCAGTGACTCTAAGCCTCAATTTCTTCATCTTTAAACCAGGTATAAGAACAGCATCCCTGAGCTGAAAATCTAAAATCCAAAGTGCTCCAAAATCTTTTTGTGCACCAACATGATGCCACAAGTGATGAATTCCACTGACCTCATGTGAAGAATTGCAGTCAAAATGCTGGTGCACTAAAAATATTGTATGAAGTTACCAAAAAAAATTATCCTCAGGCTACTTTTAGAAGAAACATTTATGTATGAAACATAAACGTGGAATCTTGTTTAGACATGGGCCTCATCATCATATTTCATCATGTGTACATAAAAACTCCAAAATCTGAAAAACAAACAAACAGAAAAACCAAATTGGAAGCTCTTCTGGTCCCGTGCATTTTGGCTAAGATACACATGCTTATAGTGATTATTTTTTTTTTGTTTTGAGACAGGTTCTTGCTATGCAGTTCAGGCTGGCCTTGAACTCACTGTTTGGCACAGGCTGGCCTCAAACTCATGGCAATGCTGCCTTAGCCTCCAAAGTATTGGCATTATAGGTCTGTGCTGCCATTCACAGCTCCCATGATGATTATTAAATGAGAAAATTTATGTCAGATCCTTAAAATTCCCTGGTGTACAGAAAGAGCTCAATAAATGCCAGTTATTTTCTGTTAAACTTCATAAAATAAATGTAAACAAATATTAAAAAACTCAGTGTTGGTAGGGCTATACAAAACTTGACAATTTTTTTGAGACAGGGTCTCACTATGAAATTCAAGCTGGCTTTGAACTTGCAATGATCCTGCTGCCTCAGCCTCCCAAGTGCTGGCATTATAGGCATGTGCCTCTACACCTAGCTATGTTATACAATGGTAATGGTACTATATTTACTGATTTTTAAAGATAATTCTCTGGCTATTTATATCAAGGGACATAAATTGTTCGTGTGCATTGACATCCTGTTAAATTGATGCAGAGTCATTGTATTTATTTACGAGGTCCTGCTTTGATGTCTTTATCCCACTTTTGTATTCCTCAAGGAGAAAATTTGAAATAAAAATGTTATTTATGACAAGGGTTTGCAGCACAACCTCAAATCAGAACTACCCAAAAAGCGCAACAATGAGGACATGGCTAAGCAAGTCGCAATCTTATCTTTCTTATTTTGGAGCCATGTCCTCATGTTTGCCAAGCAGGCACTTATGCCACTGAGCTAAACCCCCGGCCCTGCAAACTTATCTTGATGTAACCCCATGTTATCTCTAGGACAGTGCTCATGCATGGAGCACAGCCAGGTCAAATGTGAAAATCCCAAAGGAATCAGCAGATCTGCTGAAGAGACGCCCATGGCTAGACTTAAATGCTTAGTGAATTCCTTGTTTTCTGTCAGCTCCCTTAAGTTCATTAGCCCTTTCCGCTGTAGCTTGCTCTTATGCTAGCATGAAGTCACACTGATTAAACATGCCATTTTAACTTCTGCAGCTATGCCATGAGAGGATGATGGGCTGTTTTTTGTTGATGAATAACATATCATATATATAACTAGGCATGTATAATGTTTTTGTGTGTGTTTTGAGACAGGGTCTCACTATACGGTGTGGTTGGCCTTGAACTATGTAACTCAGGCAGGCCTAGAACTTGTGGTGATTCTCCTGTCTCAGCCTCCTAAATGCTGGTATTATAAGGGTGTGCCATCATGAGTGGCCAATAAATAGCTTCTATATTTTCATTTACCCATTTGGCAATAGTCTATGGGCTGGACACTGGGTAAAGCAGCAGGGATTCAATAGTGAAGATGTCAGACCTGCTCCCTGGCTTCTTCCCCTGGCTCTCACAGTGCAGTGAGAGATGTAATCCCAAAACTGCATGTGGTTTGGACACACTGAGAGGACTCTCACTTCCAGAGGATTAACAAGGAGAATGAGCTGGCCTGATGCATTGGGGAAGTGTTTTCTGAGAAGAGATTACACAGGAGTTTCTCTGTTGAGGAATGTGGGAAAGGATAGAGGAGGAGAGACAACATTTTGGAATGTTTAAGGCTTTACTGAAATAGAAGGCATGATGGGTATGGTGGTACATGCCTGTAATTCCAGCACTCGGTAGACTGAGGCAGGAGGATCACTGGGGCTAGGGATGGAACTGAATAGTTGAGTGCTTGCCTGCCATGCACAAGGCTCTGGTTGCCATCCCAGCAGTGGAAACAAAGCAAAATGAGACAAAGACAGAACACAGCAAAAATGTGTGCAGCCAAGAGGTCTAGGCGGTTGATGGACAAAAAGTCTGGCTAGAACTGGTTGGGGAAGTGGTCCCGGGCCACACTGAGGGAGGGGTGGAGGTGAATGAAGCTTTGAGATTCACTGGGTTTGAGAAGCTGATGAAATATCAGGGTGATAGTGTTCAGTAGGCGAGGTTGTGGGTGGATAGGTTAAAGTCTGGAGAGTTCAGGAGAGTAGTGTGGGTCCAATGTATTGTACCCTAAATCTACCATTGACTATAGTAATGCGTGTGAGAGCCTAAGACTGGCATACAGAGTAGGCCAAGGAAAAAGGAACAAAGCCCAGAGAACTTACATAAGACTAAGAAGAAACTGGCAAATGAGTGTGATCAGAAGAGCGGGAAAGTAGTATATCACAACAGTTAAAGTTTTTGTTTTGTTTTGATTTTTGAGATAGGGTCTTGCTATGTGGTCAGGCTGGTTCTGAACTCACTACGTAGCCCAGGCTGGCCTTGAACTTGCAGGCAGTCCTCTTGCCTCTGCCTGAGTGCTGGGAGGAAGAATGGTTTTAAAAGGAAGGATGAATGTAGCTAAGAAGCCTGATAACAGACTAGTGACTTTTTAGTGAAGGGATGAAGTCAGAATCTACATGAAAAGGGGTTGAGAAGTGGGATGTGGGGAAAGGGCGTGGGGAGGGAGATGAGGAATCCTAAGGCTGGTTGGGAAGAGTCCAAGTAGAAGCTCAGTGTTTACCTGGGAGATGGGTGGTGGGGTGGTAGGGTGTGGGGGTGGGGGTAGTGCTTTTATTTCCTTTGAAAGACGGGGATAGTTTCACACAATGAGCCACTGGTGGACAGGTGCCAGCTGAGGTCGGTGGTGTGTGTGTGTGTGTAAAAGAACTGTTCCCACCAGGCTTCTGGGCAGATGCAGGGATCCGCATCAGTGCCTGGACCACCCTAGCAGGAGTGAGGGCTTTCAGATCTGGCTTAGTGAAACCTAAAGGAGTTAATTTTTGGTAGCCTCTATTTCTGTCTGAAGCACATGGCTACAGTTACAGAGCAAGGGTTTTAGGGTTTTTCCAAGTGTGAACTACACGCAGGGTGATTGGTTTTGGTATACAGTGAACAAGAGGGGAGTGGTGGTGGTAAGGGACGATGCCCTTATTAACTTTTAAAAACTTTTTTTTTTGGCCTTTTTTGAGATAGGGTCTTGCTATGCAGTTTAGGCTGCCTTGAATTGCCTATGTAGCCCAGGTAGGCCTTAAATCTGAAGTGATCCTCCTGCCCCAGCCTCTTGAATACTGGGATTACAGATGTGCCACCACACCTGGTTTTATGCCCTTATTTTGTCTTTTAACACAAACTGCAGGATCTCATATTTTTTCAGAGTAATAAAAATTTCCCCTACTGCAGGCAATGAAGATAGTTACCGCCTCCCTTAACTTCTGACAGTCAGTTTTTTCCTACATGAGAACCTTTAAGTGCATTTGGCACTTTGTTTTTTCCCTTAGTGGAATTTTAGCCTCATGTTGGAACTCAGTGATGGATTTTTCCACTGTTGTGCACAGCACTGTATCTTTACTTAGTTCCAAGTTTTTGATATAATTCCTAAGGCCTTTTCTTTTCTAAATGAGATTCTCCAGACTCTGCTTTTGTTTTACTTTCCATCTTTCATGTACAAAGAATATGAAAGGTGACTAGGCTGCTGTAAGGAGCTTATCCACGTATGAACTGATGTTTAAAACCAAGTCAATTATTATACAGGTTCTGCTGCCTGGCAGTGGGAGACAATGTCTCATTACTGTATATATATGAAACATACTACAATATATTTCACATATCGGAATACATGAAATTTAAAAAGTGAGGAAAGGGGGCTGGGATTTAGCTCAGCCAGCATAAGCGCCTGCCTTCTAAGTGCTTGGTCTTGAGTTTAACCCCCAATATCAATTAAAAAAAAAAAAGAAAGTGAGAAAAGAATACATTTAAGACGATCAAGCAAGGAGTTCTTGCCATCAGTTTGGGGGAGGAAAAAGGAATAGGTAGAAAGAGTATGAGAAGAGCAGGTGACTGAGCTTCTCTCAGTTTGTTTCTGAATTATAAACTAGGGCTAATAATACCTGGAAAACATGAGAAGTAAAACTATATATACATACTATATAACACATTATAATAATTAAATGTTTTCAATGTATAAAGTACTTTACATATATAGTAATATAAGAGTAATAAACCGGATCTCTGTGTCAATGATTCCTGGATCTTTTTGTTTTTGGGACAGGGTCTCGCTATGTAGTTGAGGCTGGCTTTGAACTCGGTGATCCTATGTCAGCCTCCTGCGTGCTGGGATTACAGGCATATGCTACCATACTTGGTTCCCTGCATAGTATACATAATATAAAGCTAGTTGTGCCTATTATCATCCTTCCATAATCTGCTCTTATGTATCTAAATATTTATCAGGCAGCTTTTACACAGCTGTCTAGCTGCATGGCAGCATAAAACTAAATTCAAATTTGCTGTTAGTTTTAAAATGGAGCTGAATGGAGGAGCAGCAGAGAAAGGAGCTTACTGAAGGGTCTGTCATATGGTTTACATGTGACATTTACTTTTCTAGTGCCTTAAACACTCTTCATTTTTTAGATAAAAGACAGGCCTACTGGAAGATGACTAAATAGACTCTCTTCATTCTTCAGATGTGGCTCTGAATCTCCAACTTGCCTGAGGATGTGAGTTTATAAATGACAGAACTTGGATTTGATTAAAACATTCATTGGTTTTTCTAACACCACAGGATGCAAATTTCTGTAATTATTTTTTCCTGTTCTATTTTAAGTGATGAAAGAAAAAAATTCATTTTCAGTATAATAACATGTGACTGAGAAATTCTATTTTGCCATCTCAATGGAATGCTTATTATTAAAACATATGGTTGATATGGATATAGTGCCGGGTGTTGTAGTGCATGCCTGTAATCCCAGCACTTGGGAGGTGAAGACTGGAGGATCATAAATTTGAGACCGGCCTGGGTAATTTAGTGAGTTCCTGTCTCAAAACTAACCAACCAACCAATCAACCATCAAATAAAAAATGGGCTGGAGGCCTGGGGATGTAGCTCAGTGTAAAGGCCCTGGGTTTAATTCTCAACATGGAAAAGGGAAAAAAAAAAAGGCTATAATAAAAAATACAACCCATTTGTAATTCTTAAATTGTCCCAATCCAGTTAGGACCAGTGCTTATAAACTTCAGCAGATAACTAATCAAAGGGTGGAAACATTTGTGGCTTAGAATAATAAAAACTCACGATACTTACATATAATACCACCATCTACAGCTGGGTTAACACATGGTGACCTTTCTCAGTTTCATATTGACCCCAATGGACAAATGTGAAAATACTTCTGGGACACTGCAACAGGCATTGCTGGAAAGCAGAGTGGTTCCATTTGAAAATTGCTTAACTCAGTTTTGAGTAAGTTGCTTTCATTTTGAATATTTAGGAGCTGAATTTTGCATAGCTATAATCTTGGCTCTAAAGAAAAAAGGAAGCATAATTTTAGAGAAAGATCTTTTTCCAATTTTGCATAACAATAAAACTGTATAGGGGCTGGGGATTTAGCTCAGTGGCATAAGCGCCTGCCTTGTAAGCCTTGTAAGCAGTGGTGAGTTTGATCCCTGGTACTGATAAAAAAAACAAAACAAAACAAAAAAAACCTATATGGTCCCCTAGATGTACAATATGTGGGTTATTATAGTATCTATTGAAAAAATACAAGCCAACTTTTCAATTCTCCTATTGTTCACAAATTATTATGTATTCTCTAGAATACTAATGGGGGCATAGTCTGTCTAATCATGCTATGTATTTGGAAAAAGGAGATCAAAGGTTTTTTAAAAAAAGATTTTGTTAAGTAATTTATTTGTGGGACGAATCTTAGGGATTTAGGAAAGATTGCTCTCATATGTATTAACTCTCAAATGGGACAGACTTTCACAGTTAAGTACACATAGTTTGTATTATCAGAAAGATACCCTTCTTCAGAGAATCTGACTCTTTCATAGTCTAGAACAGCAGCCTATGTCAACAGTCACAGAAATGCTATTGCTTTATCTTTATCCACACAGTGGCCTTCCATCAACCTGTGACACTCCTCTTGGTGTTCCTTCCTTCTGTACCTCTCTGGATGAAACTCCCCTCCCCTTTAATCTAAAACATACTTAAATGGTTACTTTTTCTGAAGCTTTCACTTTGACTTTTAATATCAACTCATTCTGTAACCTGTACTTATTTACACTTGCTGTTTCCCTCTTTCTGGCTAGAAGGAACTGAGTTGGTGCCTCTGTGGTCACTGGGGGTGAGATTATTTTGGGCCTACGGCTGGGGCTAGCGAGATGCTGGGAAGGGAGCTAAAACCAGGGTCACAGCTGAAGCTAATCTTTGATTCTCAGATCTCATATACATTGAAGTCTAATTCTTATTTTGAACAGAATTCATGTGGATACTCAATTTATTCTCTAATTATTTAAAATAACGGAGAAACACACCTGCAGTTTCAGAGGGGTAGTTTCTTTTTACTCTTGGTTCCACATTTTAAAAATTACATAGTCTACATTTTGAATTAAGTGAAAGGGTTGAGAAAGGTCACTTTTCTTTATGTTAAAAAAATATGCATGGCAAATAGGCAAGGCAAAGAAGAGCTGTTATTAATCTACAGTTGCAATCTGACCCACTCAATGAGCAAGGAACTCCACTGAGGCCATTTACTTTAATGAAGTTACTCAAGATTTCCTGCTTCTCAAGCATCCCAGGTATCAGATGCAGGGAGGTGGGCTAATGTCAGCTTTCTCAGCTATCTGCAAAGATTCTGCCCTTAGAAGTGAATGACCGGTTCTTATAAAATTTAGGTTCTTTTGTTTTTTTAGAGACAAGGTTTCACCATGTAGCCTTGAAATTGTGCGATCCTCCTGCTTCTGCTTCTCAAGTGCTGGGATTATAGGAATGCACCATTATGCCCGGCTATCTATCTATTTATTTTTGTCTTTTTCATTTTTATTGGTACCAGGGATCGAATTCACGACTGCCTGCTTCCAAGGCAGGTGCTTATGCCGCTGAGCTAAATCCCCAGCCCCAATGCCCAGCTATTTAGGTTTTAATGAAGTTAGGCCTTAATCTGCTCCCAGCTGTTTAATTATGTAGGCCATGCAACATGTTTTTGGTTCTCCTATAGTTTTCTTCCTTGTATTCTTCTAGATTGCATGTAGTCTTTGTTTTAGAGATCACTGCTTTTTCTTTAGAATAAGTCAATGTGGAAAAGGGAGACTAAAGCCAATGAACCTTATACCAGAGACTTACTTGAAGTGCATATGTAATAAATGTTAAAGTAAATTTAAGGTTTTGGTGCAGAACTCGAACATATTTTCACAGAATGTGGTGCTCTCAGGTCAGGGTTAAAGGAAACTTTCCATAGGGCCAATGAAGAGGATGAGATCCTTTAAGAAAAACAGGGAGCTTTTCTTCACCAGGCATCTTCCCTCAGGCACTGAGACTGCAGCCATCCAATCAATGCGGAAGGGCAGAAACAAAAGCTTCCAGACTCACAAATGTTCTTCAGTAGCTAGTTCTTAGCAAGCCTGGCAATGAGATTTTTCCATTCTGCTCGCTTCTTCGTGATGTATGTGGGGGTGAGCAGCTGCAGCAGGGAGTCCGGCTGTTGCCTAAAGAAGTTCTCACACAAGGCCTCAGTGTTACAGATCACGTACATCCCACAGTCATAGCTGTTTTGTTGAGCAGGGGCTTTTTCCTCTACAAAGACCAGTTTGTCTCCTTTTCTACCTAAAAAGGTCTCTAGTTTCTCTGCTACCTGCTTTGCATGGATAGAGTTGCTTTTGCTATGGGAATCATAATGAAAAAAGCTATTTTTATCCTGTAGATAAACCAACAAACTCCAATGGGTTCCACCAGCTGCCTCGTTGGAGTTATCATTGATGGCTAAAAATACAACTCTCTTGTGGGGAAGCTCCAAGGGTTCAAGGAACATGGCAATTTCTGCTGGGCTATTAATACACTTGATGAACTGGGTGACTTCGGGGCTGATGAAGCAGACGTGGTCAGAGTAGTCACGAAACTGACTGTTGCTGAAATACTCAAAGGCAAATCCAATGACATGGTCATTGAGCCAGTTTGGTGGGTCCAGCAATGAGACATCTGATTGCCGCAGTAGACTATCCATGTAACTCAGGACTATGGGGTCCATCTTGTACAGACTGGGGCTGCTCAGAAGTCCCTGAAGCTGGAAAGACAGAAGACAGAATCTACTACTGAACTCCTCAAACATCAGGCTGTAAAATGTTAGCTATTCACACAAGCTTGTAGTAAAGCCGAAATATATTTGTAGTTTAGCAACACTACATACCTCGCTGTGACTAAACATGCAAGAAACTAGCATAGATTCTTTACATGAACAATTATTTGCAATGAAAACTTTGAGTATTTTCTATGCACACACTAAATATGAAATTTTAATTTTCTATTTAAATGCAGAGATAAAATCATAGCTAGTGTTTTACCAAGTACCATAACAGGAACCATATGCTAGCTTTTTAATGAATATGCATAACAACAGTGAATTATTTTTATGTTAAAGATGAATTTAAAGGATATGAAGAAAAAAGTTACTAATCACCAAGGGAAATGGTTTCCATTTTAAGACTAATTTTCGAGATTTGCTTCCTTCTTCCATAATGGAAAGTGACAGTGATTTAGAACTGTAGTTAAAAGGAACTCTAATTTGAAGAACAAAAAAATCAGAAGAGTAATAGAAATGAAATTCATTCCTGATTCTGTCCAGCTAAATGATATGTAACATATCTGTTCATTTCCCTCTTTAACCTAAAAAGGTGAGATAAAGACTATGAAATCAGAAAGTCTTTTACTTTCTTTCTTCCCCTTCCTTTCTCTTTCTTCTTTTATTGTGGGGACTGTTACCCAGGGAGCCCTGAGCTATATTCCCAGCCCTCTTTTTTATTTTTTATTTAGCACTATCTCTCTAAATTGCCCATGCTGGCCTTGAACTTATGATCCTCCTCTCATAAGCCTCACAGATGACTGGGATTAAAGGGATGCAATACCATTTGCAGCTCTTTTGACTTTTTGAAGGGCTGTGTAGCCCAGGAATCAGGAGGCCTAGCCTGTTTACTACTGATGTGCTACTTACATTTTGAACAGCCAATTAAGTGTTTCTGTCCTTGTTTTTAATTCCTTTTTTTGCAACTGAGGATCAAACTCATGACCTTGCACTTGCCAGGCAGGTGCTTATGCCACTGAGCTAAATCCCCAGCCCTCTGTCCTTGTTTCTGTCATCTGTTACAGAGTATTCACTTGCCTTCCACACCTCAGTGAGTTATAGAAAAGATCAAATAATTTTACCGACGATACTAGAAGAGTTAAACAAGTTGTTCAAATAATATTAATACTATTGTATGGCTGATATTAGTGAGATAATTGGAAAATGCAGACAGAACTTCAAACCAATCAAAGCAAATAATGTTTGGGAACAAATACTCATTCAAATGATTTTGTCCAAATAACAAGCAAGACAAGTTGCCTGATGGGATTAATATGTTTGTGATTGCCCAAGGCACAATGCTAACAAAGACAAGAAGTCTGATACAGCTCAGCGGTGTGGCACCTGTCTGGCAAATGCGAGATCCTGAGTTTGATTCCTGGTACCAAAACAAAACAAAACAAAACAGCCTGATGGTATAGAAGATGATACAATACTTGAGCCTACAGGGTTAACAGGTAATTGCTATATACTGACCTAGCAGCACAGTGTTCTAAAATTCATACAACATAAACTGTTACAGTTGGGAGTATAAAACAAAGCACAGCGCTGGGTATGGTGGCACATGTCTGTAATCCTCGCACTGGGAGAAGCTGAGGCAGAATTGCATATTCAATCCCAGCCTGGGCAATTTGGAATCTGTCTCAAAAAATAAAGGGAAAGGGGCATGCATGCCTGTAATCCCAGCACTTGAGAGGCTAAAGCAGGAGGATCATCATGAGTTTAAGGCCATCCTGGGCTACACACTGAGTTCGAGGTCAGCCTGAACTACATAGCAAGACATAGTCTCAAAAAAAAAAAAAGGGGGAGAATGGCACTAGAAATCAGGCTCAGTACAAATGCCTTAGTTTCAAGGCCTAGTGTCACCAAAACATGTAAACAACCAATGCATGTTGTAAGAAAACAGTAGGGGCTGGGGGTTTAGCTCAGTGGCATAAGTGCCTGCCTTGCAAGCAGGCAGTCGTGAGTTCGATCCCCGGTACCGATAAAAAGACAAAAAAAAAAAAAAAAAAAAAACCAAAACAGTAATACTGCCATAAAAAATAGGAGCAGTTATCAATTTAATCAATTGTGGCCATTAGACCAGTTATTTTATCATTTGATTACACATTAAAGCAATATACTTTTGTGACACAATCATTTTTATATAATCTAAATCTTACAAAAACTCATATAAAAATTAATATACCTGTCATGAAAAAAGCTTAAGTAAATGAAGTAACAAAGAGATATCCAAGATGATTTGATGTACAGTGATGTACAGTGATGTACAGTGAATATATCATAATCAGAAACAATATATAAGGCTACTTAAGAAAAAACACTTACATATAAATAAGATGGCATGAATTAAGGTTTTCTTAAGAAGACAGAATAGCTACAGCAAGGATCTAAACTGAAGCCAGGAATAAAGTTAACAAGGCACAGAGCACATTTGTTATGGGTGAGCCACAAGTTTGGCTCTAAGTTTTTTGGCAGGTAATCAGAGAGAGTTAAGTTAAACATTCACAATGTCCATAAGGTAAAAACAAAGTTACTCTCAGAAGGAAAAGCATTCCTTGTATTAGAGTTAGAATTTCCCCCCCTCATGAGACACAAAATGGTGTGTCATACCAAATTTGTCCCACAATGTCCTTAAGATAGATCGAATGGTTGGATAGGACTCTGTTTTACAATGAGCCTCATTATCCTAAGGCTCAATGGGCAAATGGCAGCCCTGTAAAAGGACCTGGCAAACACTAGATACTTGGCTTGTGATGGCACGAGTGTGGAGAGAGGAACACTGGCCACAGCACTCAACCAGGCCTCAGAGTGGTGAGCGCCAGATTGAACAGCCTCGCAAATCTCTGGGGACCCGAGAGCTGCCAGCTGAAATCAGATCCACACTTTAACAGCCAGGGAGGGACAGGAGCCTACAAGGAAGTGTGACTGAACAGAGTCTCTCACTCAGAGGAGTGTCCTCAGGCAGGGCCAGCATTTTCTTCAGAAACAGCTTTTGTGGGCTGGGGAATATATGTAGTTAGCAGTAGGGCAACTGCCTACTGTGTGCAAGGCCTTGGGATCAGCCCCTGCCCCTGCCAAAGAAAAAGAAAAAAAATTTTTTTGGGGGTATTTTGTCTGAGTTTTATACTATCCAAAATGTAGACAAAAGATTAGTTGCCCTTCTAATGCTATTCCATATACCATGATGATAACAGATTACTCCACAAAATTTTAACACAAACAAACAGAACTTTAACCTTTGGCTAAACTACCTTGTCCAAGAAAAAGAAACATTCCTGTTTTTTTTTTTTTTTTTTTTGAGAGGGAGTCTTGCTATATCTTTCAGGCTGGATTTGAACTCACAACATAACCCAGTATGGCCTCAAACTCATTGGGATCTTCCTGCTTCAGTTGCAGAGTAGTGGGATTGAATATAGGCCATATACTATCAGAAAGAAAGAAAGACAGAGAGACTTGAATTTTTTAGATTTATTTTTAAACTGCCATATAAAACACAGAAACTGTATACATCACTGGGGGAAGAAAGACTTGAATTTTAGATGCACATTTGTGGTTTCCACTCTTCAGAGGCTGAGATAGGAGGATCACCATGAGTTCAAGGCCCACATGAACTACATAGTGAGAACTTGTCTCAAAAAATAAAGGAAGAAAGAAAGAGAGAAAGCTCTGAATTTTAGTGCACACCTGTGGTCTCTGCTATAGGGAAGCTGAAGCAGGAATATTGCTATGAGATTGAGGCCAGTGTGAATTACATAGTGAGAATCTGTCTAAGAAAACAAAAAACAAAAAACAAGACTTGAACTTTAGATTCAATTCTATTACTCATTGGTTATGTGATTATAAATAAATAACTCAAAAGATTTTTTTCTGAGACAGGGTTTTGCTAGTAATTCAGGCTAGCACAGTGATCCTCCGGCCTCAGTCTCCAGACTGCTGGACTTAATTTTTTTTTTTTGGTACCGGGGATCAAACTCTTGACCTTGTGCTTGCCAGGCAGGTGTTTATGCCACTGAGCTAAATCCCTAGCCCAGGACTTAATTTCTTTAAGTCACAATTTGCTCTTTTGTAAAGTAAATCTGTTAATGCCCAACTTTTATCATAGGGTATTTTTTTTTTTCTTAGACAGGGTCTCACTATGTAGCTGGTCTTGAACTTGTGGTAATCCTCTCAACTCTGTGACTCCATCTCCTGAGTACTGGGATTACTGCTATGTCTGACTAGGGTATTTATTAATATGAAGAAATGTATATAAATAAAAATTAAAATAATACAACAAAGTATTTTCATATATCTATTATACCATTAGGAAATTTACATCCCAGTAACTGGTAACTGTAATATATTTCATTCATCAAATGTTTATTAGATACCTTCTGGGTGCTAGGGATACAGAATGAAAATGAAATAGCTGCTGCATATTGTGATACATGCCTGTAACCCTAGCACTCTGGGAGGCTGGAGCACGGGGCTGGAGCAGGAGGATTACAAATTTGAGCCTAATCTAGGGAATTAGCAAGACCATCTCCAAAGGAAAAAAAAAGGGAGGGGCTAAGGATATAGCTCAGTAGAAAGACCATGACCTCAATTTCCCAATACTGCCAAAAAACAAACAACCCTCTTCCAAAAAAACCCCTCAAATTCACAGTTCTTATGATCACTGAGCTTAAGCTTATTATAATGGACATGTATTGCACAACCACTTCTTTTAGTTAATAAACAATGAATATCTAATATTAGTTGTTATAGAACATGCAAAGATATACAAGTTATGAGTAGCTCTAGTCAGTAATATAGGAAACTAATAAGAGGTACAAATAAAAGGTATGGGAATTTGGGAAAAAGGACAATCATTCCTGGCGTAAGAGGGTGTCTTAGATAGTCTCACTGCTGAGACCCAATGCCTGACACTGTAATGTAAAGGAGATGAAATTTATTTGGTTCAT